GGGGGTGCTCTTGGTACATCGAAATTGTAAGACGCATTGGAAAGTTCCAACTATTCAAGCCGGAGTTCCTCTGTAAAAATCGCAGCTCGGTGTTACGCAGCGCATCCACTTCATTGGAAAAAGCGAAACAAAAGGAAAGTCTGGTGATTCAGCGACAAGCGGACAATGTGATAGATGACCCCACAATGAGCGAACCAGCAAAATAACGGGCTCACAAACTGTTCTTGTATTCATGCTACACACGTGTTACGTCGTTATTTGTCGTGGTTTCAACCGCAGTGTCGTATATGTGCTGTTTGTCGCCATTGCTCATGTCCTTGGATTATGTCCACCTCTTCGCCCTGTAGAGCACTTTACCTGTGTGGTGAAGATGCTGTACAACCTGCAGTTCATCCAGGCCCTGGCGGCACTCTCCACCAAGCTGAGGCCAGAAGAAAGGCAGGCCTGGAGCTCATCTGGGGCAATCAAAAAGGTAAAAGGGGCAGTCATATACGGTGCGAGCATCAAGCCAAAGATGATCTCCCTCCCCCCCTTTTTTTTTTTGTCCTTTTTGTGCTCCCTGTGCGGTCTGAGGCGCTTCGTTTCAATCCTTGTAAAATCTTTGTTTATGACTTGGTATTGAGACGAACGAAGCCCCTTTCCCCATTTCATTTATGGGGTTTCCACAGGCGACGGTATCGATCTTCATTATCTTGAATCGTGTGACTGCTGGGGAGAGTGTTGCATTAATTGGCTATTTGTCTTCACCCAATTAAATCTGAATTAGCGAGTGGCTGGCTTGAATGTCAAAAGACAAATAGACGAACCTCTCCCGCCTTGCGCGTTTATTTCCATCTGTCATGACCGTTGAGAATCTTGCTCCGAAACGATCGTGGATATGACGCCGACAGGCGCGTGCCTCTTGTTTGGATTTCGAAGTCATGTCAGTGATGCGGTTTTGAGACGGCTCAGCCTCTGGTGGGTGGATTGTATAACTCGTTGACAAAAGACAGCAGATGTGCGATAAAACGGCTGTTTTATATTCTTCTGCCTTCCGCGTGATGAATGGTTTGCAGGTGCTTCCTTTCTGCAACCCACCCGCCCAGCGATGGGATTTTTATTTCAAAACCCACGTTCAATACTGTTTCGGGGAATTATTGACGTCTGTATTATCTGTTGACCGTACATTCTTATAACCACCTACTGACTTCATGGTTGCTTGCTTGACATTTCATTGGATACTGCAAATAATATTCTGTTTTGATTGATATCATAACAAAACATTTTTTGTATTTTTTTTTTCCATACGTTTTTGAGCCACTTTTGCTTATGTATTAAAATCACCTCTCATCCGCAGTATGATAAAATGCAGTTGTGCAGCACCGAAAAGCAAAAAACAAAAACAAAAAATGTCCGTCCATCCATTTTCTGAAAATTTTGATCCGACGCACGGTGTACCTCAAAATGGATTGTCCTCATGGATGCAAAGATAGCATGACAACTTTGGAGTTGCATTTTGTTCTGGGTTACGCCTCACTGGGTGTGAAAAATCTTTCAGGCCGTCATGCAGGCGCCGTCCAGCTCTGTCACAGTATGACGACTCGCCTATCGAAGGAGTCGTTTGCGAAATTCAACGAGTAAGATGGTGCCCGATCACCGCGACTGCCGACATTATCGCCTTTTAGTTCTTGATTTAGTCTACTACTTCCGAGTTAGTCTATTCCCAAGATTTTTGTCTTTATTTTCATTCAGTCAATCCACAGTGAGTGTGAATGGTGTCAAACGCGCATTTTGCTTGCGATCCCTCCTTTATTGTACATTGGATTAAGACGACTGATGATTCCTTGCAAGCAGTAGAAACTGTGCGTTGATAAGATAAGACTTGATGGATGTTTTTGTTTTGATTTTTTTTTTTTTTAGGCCCGCGCAAATGCAGAAACGTCTTTTGAAGCGCTGCTCGGTCACGTTATCAGTGAGTTGTCCAAGTGCAACAATCTCTATGCAGTCGTCGTGGAAGATATCATGGTGAGTTACGAAACACTTTCCTTATATAGCCACCTTGTTTTTCTCTTGCGGTTTACACAAAGAGCTCGCTCGAGAATTATTAATCATGCGATTATCACCAAGCCGTTGGCTGGTTATTGATCGACCGTTGCCGTCCGTCCCCTCGCCAGCTGAGCTCCAGCGTGTGGTCCCCGCAGTCTGTCGAATTCAGCCTCCAGCAGTACTGCCTGCCCTTCCTTCGACTCGCCTGCCTTCTGCAGCATCATCTCTACGGCGACGACCTCACTGGCTGCTTGGTGCGTAGTCATCAGTGTCACCATTTAATTTATTTATTTTTTTTTAAATATCAGTTTTTAATGTTAAGCACTTTATTTCTTTATTCTCTGATGTCCTTCCATTTTTCTGTATCCCGTTCTCATTCTCAGGAGCAGGAAGAGTTCTCGTCCCTGGCCGCGTGCTTGGGGCTGGCACCGGCACCCTCTGTGGCTTCGAATCCTGCGAACAGTGCCTCGTGTCTGGAGTGGGCGGTCAGCGCCTTCGACTTGGTCACGCACTGGTGTGCTGAGGTCAAAGGGCTCTCTCAAGTGCAGACAGAGCAATCGCTGGTAAGCCATCTTGGACATCTTTCATCAGTCTGCTTATCTCAATTTTAAAACTAGAGGATCAGGTCCAATAAGGAAAAACTCCGTGGCAAAATGTGGAGCCACCTAAATATTGTCTCTCCTCCCTCTCATTTGTCTTGTGTGAAGACCTTGCTCGTCCAGGATCCTCAGTGGGCACCGCCCCGCCTCCTCCAGCTGCCTGACAACTACAATATCATCTTCCAGTACTACCACAGGAAGGCCTGCGCTGTTTGTAAAAAGGTGCCAAAGGACCCCGCGCTCTGCCTTGTTTGTGGCGCCTTTGTCTGTCTCAAAGGGGTCTGCTGCAAGCAGCAGGGTATCTGTGAATGTGTTTTGGTAAGTTATTCTTTTACTGTGACCTTTAAAAAAAAAAAAAAAAATTGGCACCGCAGCCTCATCGGCGTCACACGAGGTGTTCACGCGATGCATCTCGTTGCGTAGCACTCCCAACACTGTGGCGCTGCTACTGGAATCTTTCTACTGATTAACGCCTCAGTCATCATCATCATCCGCGGACATCGCTTCTGTCTCTGGGGTTCTGTTTACCTTGATGCCCACGGGGAGGAGGATCGCGATTTACGGTACCGCCCACACACACACGCACACACACACACACACACACACACACACACACAGATGACAATGACTTAGAAAGTAGATGGAAATGAAGGCTTTGACCAGTTCCCTGCAGCACCTTAATTCCACACTACCGTGTTTGCTCCAAGCACTGGCCTCGACAATTTGGTATATCGTCTTCTTTCCCTGCGGTATCGCCGCGCTACGTTTGACGATCAAAGAGACAAATACAAAATAAGAGCACTGAACTCACCAGTCATCCCCACTTCAGCTCCTGATGATGCTCACGAGGCCACGCCCCTTTATATGAGCTGCACCCCTTGTTCATGATGGAACCTTGCTAAAAACAAAATGTCATTTTTTTTTTTTTCGTTTTTTTGGAGGGGGGGGGTGTCCAATCAATTAAAACACGACAGGCGATCAGCTTACCTGAAGCGAACGCTGATGTCGGTGCCATCAGCGCCTCAAACAAGGGAAATTTACATAGTGTAAATCAAGGTCCTGTTGTCTTTTTTTTTTTTTTTTTAATTTCACTGCGACTCCAGAGCTCACTCTTGTCTTCCCTCCCTTTTTTTTTTTCCCAGCCGTGGAAAACCTCTCTTCTTGTGTGAAGAGCGCTATCGAGTGTTGGAGCAACAGTGGGTTTCACACACCTTTGACCACATCAATAAGCGTTGGGGGCCTCATTATAACGGACTCTAAAAAAGAAAAAAAAAATCCACTTTAAAACTGCAGCCCGTCACAGAGAAGACGACTATTTGCAATTTGTCTTTGTTTTTTTTGCCAGAGTGTCTGCCTCGTTTGACAAAAACTTCCACTCAAAGTATTGGTGCCATGACCTCGGTTGGTGTGACGTTTGGTGTACAATCGGGAGCCCGAAGGATTAACGTGTGTGCATTTCATTATGTTATCATGTACTTATCAACCGGGGGTGGGGAAAACAACATTTGGACACATTAAATGAAAACACGAGAAGAGCACAACTTTTCCCAGAGATGTACGTGGTATGGAGTAGGCTGTAGAAGGCTTTGATATTTATTTGGATATATATATATACATAGATACGTACGGAATGTCCAGCGCTGATTATCCCTGCAATAATGCACCATTTATGATGATGTTCAAGCATATCCCTTTTAATCATGGTTCTGGTTTTGAGTTTCAAGCTCCTGATGAGTGCAGACGCATTATTATTACATGACATCAACACACTATGGCGTTTTCTTTTTTGTGTTTTGTTTTGTTTTTTGCAAAAGAGCAAAAAGGCTCTTTTTATGGGTCTAGTTGAAATCCATCCTCAGGAATTTTGTTGTTTTTTTTTTTTTTGCTGTTGAAATTAAGTTTTAGATATTTAAATAAATGCTGCTGCTCATTGATCAAGTCATTTTAACTTTGTGAAGGTTGTGCATCGAGCTTTCGCTTAGAACGCTTGGAGCGTCGGCTCAGACTCGCTTTGTCAAAGGACGCGCGCGGTCACGTTATAACACTCACTCAAAGTTCATCACGTCCTGCCTGAGCTCTGCTTTTTTTTTTTTTTTTAAACCTGTGGAAAATAAGCTCACGTGCGCCAACAACATAATCTAATCGCTTTATTTATTTATTTTCTTTGCCTCTCGATATTGTAATTGCTCTTTAATATGATGTTGTTTTTTTGTGGTCCTCTTCCCAAGTATTTTCAAACAAACGCAAGAAATAAAATCACATTACAACAAATGACCAGATTTATGATACATACATATTTTGGTCTTAAAGGTTAACTTACGCTAAAATAAAGGCATTATTCAGCCCTACACAGAGGTCAACCCGTGAAAGACGATTAAGGTCTGCACCCCCCCCCCCGTGCAAGAAATCATAGGCCACTAGTTAACATGTTAGAACAATCAAGAGTCCTTTCCTGGCTCTCTGTTCATTCCATTCCAACTCAATGGAAATGAAGTTGCTTTTCAAGAAATGTTCAAACCCAATCTGAAAAGCTTTCTTGAGGCCGACGATTGTCAAGGTGGTGACGACAGTTCCGTGACTGTGATGACTATCCTGGACTCATTTGTCATTTGGCTGTGATTTGTAGTTGCATTCCAACGTTACATTTGGACTTTTTTTTTTTCTTCAAATAACCGCTTTACACTGTGCATGACATTTTTTGAGCCGCTATTCTTTTAAGTGTCTTTGCTAATTCACTCTTTTCAATTGACTTATTTTCTGGAAAGCAGAGTTAAGTTCATCCAGTTGTGCCTGTGCGATGTTTTGATCAGAGTGAAGATAAAGTAAGCCGGTATCACTGGGCTGCTGTTTTCAACGTTTTTTTTTTTTTTTTTTGAGGGGTCTAAGTTGACACTTGAAGTAAAAAAAAAACTTTCAGAATTCATGCATGCTGCTTTTATGTTTACTAAGTTTCTCTTTGTCATCACGTTTGCAGTACCCACTTTGTAAATGACCGCAAGCAAATAGTCAATGAGTGTAAATTGTGATTGAAAGCTCTTGTGTGTGTTCTCCTGTGTGATTGAAGAGAGAATACAGTACATTACTGTAGGTGCAAAATCAAGCTTTCTGATTTTGGCCAGAAAGTATGACTTGGACATTTAATGCAACATGTAATATATGTGAATAAAATATAAGCACACTGCTCTATGTCCTTTGGTTTCAGTTTGTGTTGGCGTAAAGTTTTCTTGAAGCACAAACATGTTTTATTGGTGTTATTTTGTTTTGGGTTTTGATTTTGGTCAACATAAGGTGGGTATTATTATTATTATTATTATTTAAACTTTCATTTTCAGTTCTCGAGTGGTCGTAAGATGTTTGGACATTGAAATACTCTCATCAAATTTTTATCTTGTGATATGTGCTCTGTATTTGAAATGGTTGACCTATCCATAGTGTTAAATCATAATGTAGTTGCCTGACGGACTGCGTAAACCTTTAATTAAAACTACTTTGAGTAACTGTAGACTAACACGTACACAGTCCATTCGCAAATAATTACTACTTTTCATTTGCACTCCATTATTACGCATCAGCTAAAATTGGCCACAATGACTAATCAATTCCATTGTTGGCCTATGTGTGACCTAGTACCAGCAAACGCATTCCTCTACCATGTGACTTGTGTATTTTCTGGATAATTGGGTTGAGCTTTAATAAACAACAGAGGCCTTGTATGGAACAAACAAGAGCCGCGCTAAACTTGTGATTTCAACCAACTGGAGCAAAGCCCAGCCAGAGGAGAAGAAATGTTACCTTGCTAAAAACGGGTCAGGTCAGCGATTCATTTGAGCCTTTCCTTCTCTGATTTAGCTTCCTGCACAGGTGAATGGACTCGTGTCTTTCCCCCGTGCGGGTTCAGCGTGCTCTGCTCAGGTGTCCATAAGCTCATTATTAATTATTAAACTAACTCCCTGACTGGCTGAAGGGACAAATCAGTTTGGATATGTTGCTATGGATGGTAAGACTCAAGTTTTTATATATGAGCAAGAAACAGGTAGTTCATAAAAATAATGCATCTGAGTCCTTTTTTGTTTTGTTTTGTAGAGCTCAGAGATGGACGTGAGGCAGCAAACAACAAAAGGGTAAGAATTTAAAACTTTGTACATAGCATAGTAACGCCTTTGTAGTTCACACGATGTAAAAATACAAAAGAATATATTTTGTTTGTGTTGTGATTATGGTAGAAGTTGAATTTGTATGTTAAGTCGTCAGAATAAATAGTTAGCACCACAAAATAGTAGCGCTGGCAGTGCTAAGCTAGCATTAGCGCCAAAAATAAGGCGACGTTAATGTAATGTAGGTAGCATGATGGAGGTTACTATAACACTACATTTTACTGGTTATAAGTTTTACTTTTTAGAATGTACAATTAATTAAAAGTCCAAACGAAATGACAAAGTGAGAAGAGTTGATAAATTCTGCCTAAGATCCCTTTGCGCTGCTCTTTGCTTTGTCTTACGCCAGTTGTTGGCAAACGAGTGATGGCTGTTCCTAAGAATTATTAGCATATAGTAGATGGATGGATTCTGTATGTTTTAGGTTGATGGACAGTATTCGAAATATTGTGTCCTCATATTTTCTTAAAAACACATATATGCCATTAGCACGACGACATCGTTTCAAGTTGCTCAACATCAAAGTAAGTACATGTCACTCATCATGCTCGGCTGCTTATTTTAGTGCACTGATGGATCCTTCAGTGTACACTGTATTAAGAAAAAGTGTTCCCTCATGCTCAAGTGAGTCTTGGTCGTCCAGGGTGACAAGGGCAAGTTGCTGCAGCTCTGCTCGTGGCTGCCAAGGTTTACCACAAAGCCTCTTCATATCCCCTTAGAAAGGATTAGATAGTTCACAGGATTTTTTTTTTTTTTTTTTTTACTTTCGCCACAGACTTACTAGCCAGTTGACAACGTGCCGTTCCCGCAAGGCTTTAAACGGAGAGAGTGAGCAAGAGTGATTGCTGGATGCAGAAAATTAGATTACTCAAACTGAACCTGGCAATCATGTGCACTCACCGGCCACATCATTAGGTACACCTGTCAGTTTGGTCCGAGTCGA